GTTTTGAAACCAAACCTAAGTTGATCTATAGGAATCTACTGAGTCTTTTAACATAAAATTCAAAGCTGCCTGAGACAATATATGCCGTATGTACTGGAATGTCTGGAGGGATATTTACACTTGAAAAATAAGAGCGAGTAAACAGATCTTGACAGATCTTTTTGTTATTTTAGGGATATAATAAGAACAATAAAGATGAGAATGAACACTAAAACTGAATGTCTTGTCAATTAACTGTTCTGTGTATATTTTAATTCTTTAAATATTTAAAATAATTCATATTCCATATATCATATGTTTAGTCATGAGTGCAAGGAGAAACTATAGATTCCACTATCAGAATCTGGAGTGATGCATTGTATGAAAAAGGGATGTTAAGGGGTGACCATGAAAGTGTTGACAGCAGGAGAAGAAAAACTATTAAGAAGCATATCTTTATTGGTTAACTTTTAGTTTAATCAGAAATAAGTTTAATAATAGGCATTTGTATAGTATTTGTGCTTCCCACTGTATTTGCACTATTGAATTATTATTCTTTTTGTTTCCTTTTTTGATAGGAAGCAAGCAACCTATTTTGTACAGACCTGGGTGTAAGGAGCAACCTGACTGTCTAATTCAAGAAGCATCCCTTTTCAGGTTGTGCTTAAGCACAAAGTTAATCATGTGTGTAAGTGATTTCTGACCTTAGACCAGAGAGATGGACCTAATGAAGCCCAGATCTGCAAACACTTGTGATTTCACAAAGTTACTCGCATGCCAAAAATTAAACGTGTACAATTGTTGGACCAAAGAAGGCACAAAAAGATGCTTGTTAAAAGAAACTGGTATATCATTCTTTGATCAAGTTTATATTCTGTAAAAAGAAAGGATTACAAAACTTAAAATTAATAGGAATACTTACATGGATAAACAAACTTTCCTATGCAGTATTTGTGGGATCCTTCAACATTTGGCTATTAACTCTGAGTTACCAACTCTTACAATTTTATAGCAAATATTTTAGCAAATTGAAATTTTGAAATAAATTCCAAAGTTTGTTTTTTCTTTTAAAAAAACAACCCTCACATTTTCAGAGGGTCTCACGAATTTGCACCCTGGATGTTGGCAAGGAGGAGAACCTGAGAAAAAGGACAGTTGACAGGAGGTGGGTTAGAAAAAGTGAAAAAGACTAGGATTATATTGTAAAGCACCAGGACAAAAATGGGAGACTGACTAATAGCTGTGCCAAAAGAAATACAAAAAGTAAGCAAATAATGTAAGATACAAAGGAGATAGTTTGTCCTGAAAACTATTTCTCTATTGGTATAATACCTAAGCTTCATATAACTAAAATATACTAAAATAAAGGGTTTTTTTACTTTGTGTATAGTCAGTTTTAATATTTCTTTCACAGTTAGGCCCTGGTTCAGTCTAGAGCTATTCTTGCACACACAATGCTCTGTGATTATTGGCTTCTATGAAACTCTGCATCAGTCTATCATCTAACCCAGAAAGAGGACTGCTGCTGTTATTAGATACTTTCTTCTGTTTGCATTCACACAGCACATTCACAGAACATTCACACAGCAACAGAAAAACTTTAAAAGCATGAAAATACCATTGTAAAGTAAAAAATCAGGGAGTTGTATAATACACAAAACAGCTTTGAACTAACTTTAAAAAAAATGCAGTACATTTCAAGTTGACCTGTCCCCTTTCCTTTTACAAAGCTAAGCTATGTCTAGAAGTGCCAGCTATTTAAGAACTATATGTCTGACTTTATACAGCTCAGTTTGTCCTGGCTGCTATATTGATAACTGTATTGACTGACTGCATTGATGAGTTGGTAACCTTTTCTATCTGAAAGCTACTGAGATCTTTGGTAGGTTCATTACACATTACACATGTAGAGGTAATGAAGGTTAGTAGAGAGACCAGTGCTGATTGCTTAAGTAGTGAAGACTTAATTTTGAGGTCTCAGCAGTGTTGGGTTGGACATAGTATGACTGGATGGTATGTGAATGCCTAAGTAGCTACTGCAAAGAAAATTAGAGAGTGACAAGAGGAACAATGATTGGCCCAGGAACAGTTTCATGAATGCTCTGAAGTGGTACCTGGTCCAATGCAATCTGTACCAGTTTACCTCTGGGAATCTCTGATTGCTGACGGTCATCAGTGGTGCATGTCAAACTGACAGCAAAGGGAGTGGAGTATGTTGAACTGACACCATGTCAAGGAGATAAAAATCTATAAGACAAAAGCAAGCACAGCAGCAGCAGAGCACACAGAAATGGGAGATTTGTGGAAAAGGCTTCTTGGCCGATGCTGGTTTCCTCAGTCACCTGTGCACCTATCACACCTGACTTACACTCCTGAGGTCCTTACAGTCAGAGTCATAGAATCATAGAAAATTAGAGTTGAAAGGGACCTCAGGAGGTCATCTAGTCCAACCCATGCTCAAAGCAGGAGCTTCTCCAACCAGATCACTCCAGCCAGGGCTTTGTCAAGCTGGACCTTAAAAACCTCCAAGGATGGACATTCCACCACCCTCTAGGTACCTGTTTCAGTGCTTTACTACCCTCCTAGTGAAAGAGTTTTTCCTAATATCTAACCTAAACTTCCCTTGCTGCAACTTGAGACTATTGCTCCTTGTTCTGTCATCTGTAATCACTGTGAATAGTCTAACTTCATACTTTTTGGAAACCCCCTTCAGGTAGTTGAAGGCTGCTATTAAATCTCCTCTCAGTCTTTTCTTCTCCAAACTAAATAAGCTCAGTTCCCTCAGTCTTTCCTTAGCAGTCATGTCTCCCAGCCCCCTAAACATTTTTGTTGCTCTCTGCTGGACTATCTCCAGTTTGTTAACAAACTGTTGTCCTTTCTATAGCGTGGGGCCAAAAACTGGGCACAGTACTCCAGATGTGGCCTCATCAGTGCAGAATAGAGGGGAATAATCATTTCCCTTGATCTGCTGGCAACACTCCTAATAATGCAGCCCCGTATGCTGTTAGCCTTCTTGGCAACAAGGGCACACTGCTGACTCATATCCATCTTATTGTAACCCCCAGGTCCTTTTCTGCAGAGCTGCTGTTTAGCGAGTCAGTCCCCAGGTGGTAGCGGTGCTTGGGATTCTTCTGTCCTAAGTGCATGACTTTATACTGGTCCTTGAGTCATAGAGAAGTAGGGCCAGAGGTCATCTAGTCCAAGGCCCTGCCTGAGGCAGGATCATCCCCATCCAAACTATCCCATACAACCATAATCTAAACTGTATGTAAGACTACCCCCAACCCTGGCACAACACAAGACATAAAAGCCTAACTTGCCCTAAGTAAAGCAAGTGAAACCACAGCAGTCACTGTCCTGCTTATATAAAATGTTATCAATATATGCAGCTCAAGAGGTCCCAGCTAGAGGGTGCTATTACAGGGGAAGAAAACCCTCAGTCTATACCAGTCTGACCCCAGATGAGGTAACATTCCTTCCTGACCCCAAATATGGTGATCAGTCTGACCCTGAGCAGAGGGGCAAGACCCTCTAGCCAGGAACCCCCTTGACTAAGAAAAAAAGATGCTCTAACTGCAGCATTGGAAAAGAAGGGATTTAAAAGGGCAGGTTGATCACTCTGTGCCATTAGGAAGCAATGGATAAGCCGGCTGGATCTTCTGTGCCAGACCCAGAAGCTGTTTCTCTGACAATTGGAATCAAAACTCCTGGAAGAGGTGATCTCTTCTATTAGACCAACTAGATATTTGCAAACAAATTATTGTATGTATTTGCAAGCTTTCAGGCACACACGCCCTTCATCAGGCATAGGAGAAAGCAGAGGTTGCAAAAGTCCTCCTAGGTAGAAATGAAAACTCATATTTCACAGGAGAGCTGAAGGTGTGGTTAATTCTCTTGTTTGGAATAACCAAACTCTACAACTCTTGGTTTAGAGATGATACCTTTCATTAGACCAACTAAGAAATTGCAACCCCCTCAAAAACCTTTTCTGCAAGCTTTTGGGCATACACACCGAAAGCTTGCCAAAAAAAATGTTTGCTGAAAAAGACAGGCATGAAAAAGATTTTTATTTTATTTATTTATTTATTTATTTTGCGATTTCTCAGTTGATCTAATAAAAGCTATCACCTCTGAACCAAGAGTTGTAGGGTTCTGCATTTCTTTTTGTCTCAGACCAACCCGGTTACTGACTGCATCCCTGTTTGTAATAGCTCATTTTGCCCAGGTTAGGTGCAGAGATTTTTTTTTTTTAATTTAATTTGTATCCAAGGCCAAATTGGCCAAAACTAATTCCAAATCCAGCAGTCCAGAACCGTATGTGGCCCTACTACTGTCAAACATCCTCCACCTGCACTGGGGCTTCAGATGTTTCCAAAACCTTTGGCGGGCATCCTACTTGGAGGCATCCTACTTTGGCAGGCATCCTACATGGCTTGGGGTTCGGATGCCCCCTGAGTTTTGCTTGCCCTCAGCCATAAGGCCCTCAGAGCCAGCTAGGGAGGAGCCTCCCATTTCCCTAAAGTGGGCTTTAAGCCCCAACACCTTGGCAGGTACTAAATCACCCCAGAAGAACAGTTATCCCCAGGAACGCTTAAGGAAAACTGCCCTCATGGACCCAGATACCTGGCAGGGGAAACACCACGTAAATGGCCGAGAAGCAAGAAAATTGCAGTTGAGATCCTAGGTGACACGTTTGAGAGGCAGCAGCTCCTTTTTGGGCTAAGGCTGGGGTCCGCGGGGAGCGAAGAGAAGAAGGCAAAGGCGAGGCAGCCAGGGTTTCTAGGCTAGCAAGGAAGCCCCCAGACAGTGGAGGGCTTGCCGGGTGTGTGAAACCAGTAGCTGCCTCTCTAGCACACACCCCCTCGCCCTTCGCCGGGGGCTGTAATTTGACTGCTCTCTTTGGCTGGGCTCCAGAGCCAAGCCCGAGTGGTTAATCTGTCTCTCCCCCTTTCCCACCCCAGGGGGAGACCAGGAGGAGGAGGGACGTCAGCTGCAGCCTGAGGCCAAGCCGGGCCTCCCAGGGGAGCTGCTGAGGAGCAGCGGCGGAGCCCGGTAAGAGCGCGCTTGCACCGCTGCCGCCCTCTCTCCCCGGGGCAGCCTGCAGGGATCAGGCTGCATCCCCTGCAGCCGGGGGGCCCCCATCCTGCAGCCCCGGGGCGGGGGACAGGGACCTTCATTGCCCCTTCCCCTTCCCGGGAGGTCCCCCTTGCAAGGGGCACCCGGGAGAAGCGGCTCCCGCTCCTCCTCCTCCTCCTGGCCCGGGCTCCTGCAGCGCGTCCTCCCCTCCCACCAGCCCCCAGCCCGCACGTCGGGGGGAAACCCGTGTCCCCGGGGCACCTGCCCTCTGTGGCTCCGCTGCTCCCCAGGGTCCCCCGCCTGCACCACTGTCTTCAGTCCTACCAAGTGCTTGGTTACTCCAGTTTAAGACCCGTCCTGTAATGTTTCTGCCTCAGGCGGTTGGAGCTGCCCCCTGGGATTTGGAGAGCTGTTTCAAGCCTCCTGCCCCCCGTTACATGCATCCCGCCGTTCCCGGTGAACGGCGCTGGCACTGTACCTAGACTTCTGGCAGCCCCGGGTGAACTTTTGGTATTGGGCCCCACTTGGCCAGAGATAATGTTGAGAATCAAAAAATGACCGTTTTGGGTCCCTGCCCCGACCCTGGGCAGCCTCCCAGTTTGCCCGTGCCTAGTCCTGAATGGTGCCATAAATGGAGACCGGGCAAAGTAACGGGGATGCAGGTCACTGGTGAATGGCGTGATCGGCCGCACGTGCGGAGCAGCGATTTATGGTGCCATCCACTTGCGAACTGCACAAAGTGAGACCAGTCACATGTGCAAAGCAACTTCCGCCATAAAAAGGACGGGCCAGCTAGAAAAAGAGCCAGTTGGCTGCCAAGTTAGTGCTCGGAAGTGTGTAATGGAGGTATAGCTGGTTTCTGTCCAGCCTTCATTTGAATTTCTGGCAGGGCTCGTGTATCAAACTTAAGGCTCCTGCTATACATGAATGTGTGTTGCGTCCTTCACTGGTGAATTGCATGATAAATTTAGACCAGCCACAGATGCAAAGTAACTATCATGTCATTATAAAGAGTGATCCAGCTAGAAAAAGAGCCAACCAGCTGCAAAGTTAGCGCTTGGAAAAGTGCAGCAACCCTACAGCTGGTTTCTATCTAGATTTAATTTAACCATGTGGCAGGGCTTGTGTATGAAATTTAAGGCCCCTGCTACAGGTTACCTACATTATGCAGTTAACTGGTTAATAGTGCAATAAATTTAGACCAGCCACCCGTGCAAAGAAAGACTGGCCACAAGTGCAAAGTAATTATCTTACAATGAACTCGTCAATCATAGAATAAATTTAGGCCAGCCACACCTGCACAGTAATTATTTCATGATAAAAATGACTCTGTGTGTGTGTGTGTGTGTGTGTGTGTGTGTGTATGTATGTATATATATATATAAAGGGCTTGGTCCATCTGTCTGTCTGTCCGTAACTCTCGGGGTTGTGGCGCCCGGTGGGGTGTGGCTCCAGCCAGTGCTGCACGTGGGGTGAATGCCTGTCAAGAATGATGGTGGGGATGGAGCGCCTCCATGACGGTGGGGACTTAGCACGGGGAGGGATGGAGTGGGGCTGGACATAGAGCAGGACAGGATGGTGGGGATGGAGTGGGGGGGGGCAAGGCCAGCAGTGCTGGCCTGACCCTCCCCCCCCTCCCCCCCAGCCCTTCTCCTTGGAAGCGGTGGTAGCGCGGGGCGGTGGCGGAGCAACACTGGCCTCGCCCCCGCCCCCCCCTCCATCCCCGCTGTCATGGCGGCGCTCCATCCCTGCCATCCTTCTTGACAGGCAATTTGCTAGTCCAGCTATAAAGTTAGTGCTTGAAAAGGTGTAACAGCTCTATAGTTGGTTTCTATCCACCTTTAACTTGAATGTGTAGCAGGGCCCTTAGCAGTGGTCCATATGTTAAAATACAGATTGTTAGTGTTCTGCTGATTGTGACATAAGGGGTTTTAAAACTGTTACCCAATATCATTGATCAGTGGGGGATACAGAAGTTCTGGAGGGAGGGATCCTGTCTTCCTTCTGGAGATCTTGAAGACCTCCCTCCTTCTTTTTCTTGCTTTCTGTCCCTGACCCTGTAAGTCTTTTGTCACAGCCATTGTCCTTCCAGCTGAGTCAAGCTGAATGGGATGCCCTTCAGAACTCAGACTTGAGTCAGTCACAGGGTCATTGCTGAATAACATGAGGCACTTCATTTCCCCTTTTTCTCAGAAGGCCACATGGAAAACAAGGGACCTAGAACAAAACTTAGTTTCACCTTGTCCCAGCTACTGGAATTTTTTTTCCTAACTGTTAAATGGGAGACAGATACACTTATGATTTCATTTATTTTTGCTCCTCTAGCTTTCATGTGATTTGCTCATCCTTTTGCTATCAATAATATCATAAAGAGAATCTGATGACTTCTCTCAATGATTAGGTGTTTGTAATAAAAGCACATGAGTAGTAGTTCGTTTTGGCTTCTTTCCCTTGTTCTTGGAGGGAACTGTCTTTACTGCCTGGGACTTGTGGGTCGAATTTCCACAAGTGCTTCTTGCCCAAGCCCCTAGCTAAATTTATAAAGGAATCCTGTTAGCTTGTACAAGGCTAAATCTGGCAGTAGTGACTTCTGGAGGTATAATTCATCGTGGTTAGAAAGGCACAGTGTAGGATGGCTTTATACTTTATTTTTATAACTTCTGATTTTTTTTATTCGTTTTTTGTAGAACAGTTACCTTAATTCCGAGAATTTTTTTGCCAATACATGTGGATGCTTTGGCTGACCATAAGACCTGCAATATTTATTAATATAGTTGTATATTTGGAGTTAAGGATGTTTTTCTTTTAGAAGATTAGGGGAATATGAAAATCTGCCTCTAAAGGAAACAAGTATTAAGTGACTCTCTAGTACATCCACATTTTCACTTTATTTTTTGATACTACCCCTGTATTCCCCGCTTCCCAAATTGGCAAGCTTGAAACTAGAAAAAGTTCAGAGAAATATATCAATAACTTCAGTCTTGAATGATTATATCACAGTGGCATACTATTAGATACTTCTGAAGATCTTGGTAGCCAATGTTGACTGGGGTGTGGAGGGTGTCTGCGTGTGTCTGTATCTCATGATACTTGTATAACTGGTGTCACTAACACAATGATGTTCTTACTTATAATTCATCATTGTCCCTTTGTCTTCTAATTCTACCACAATTTTCCTTTTTAAAGCATAGTGTACACTTTTAAAATCTGAGTTTTATGTCATGAGTTTCCCACTGCCTTTGAAAGGTTTCTCAGAATTGTTCTTATGTTAATAGATGATACATCCTAGTGTCTTTTTACAAGGAGGCCTTTGAGTAGTAAGAAAAGTTAGAAATGTAGTTTCTAAATGGTTTATTTAGAATGCTTTGATTTATAATGTTAGCCTTTGTGAAAGAGAGAATATTTGATTTGTTTTATTACATTCACCTTTGAAGTGAAGCCTAGGTTTAAGGTGATTCAGTGTCTGGTTTCTGAGTGATTTTTTCAGTAGGGGACTTCTGCTTCCATTAGAGCTTTTTGCTACAACTCTTTTACTATTTGTTGTTTTCCTTTGCATAGGATGCAAGAATTTGGAATTAACTGCTCAAATATCTGCTTTAGGGCTATGTACTGATGGCTGGAAAGTCCTGATTACAACTGTATTGACTGAAGAAAATATGGGAAGAAACAAGTTGAACTTTTGGCTGCTAAAACTTTATCAAGGTTGGACTTTTGGGAAATCTACAGACTTCTCAACTCTTGAGGCTCTTTCATGTGCTTCTGCCCAGAGCAGGGGGGCTGGACCCAATATTCTCATGAGTTCTCTTCCAGCCCTAAACTTCTGTGAATCTCCTGATATCTCTTGCTTTAAAGCTCAGTTGCTCTTGTCCTGTAGCTATGTGAAAGTGTCATATTTTCACCTTTAAAATTGAGTTTCTAACCATTATGGTTGTGGAGAAAATCTTGAAAATGTGACCTTGCAACCTAAAGGCTAAGAACAGGAGGCAAGTATTGGGGGCAATGTGGGGGCAATTCCCCCACATTTATTTTTCTTAAAATTGTATATTTAACCCAATCATGATTGCGGGAGTATGACTTTTGACTTCTAAGCCCTTGGGATTGGTAGTGCTAGATCGTCCTAGAGTTTGTAATTTCTTAATTGCCACATTCCCACTTTGGAGTTCGTGATCCATCTTCTGGTCATGTGATCCTGTCTCCCATCTGATGCCTTCTGGGGCAATTGAATGTTTGTGAAACCTGCTCGCCCATGTACAGTCACAATTCCTAGTCTAGGAATTAATTGTTGTAAACCCACCAATTCTAGCAGTGTTTCTTTTGTATAGTTGTATAGTTGTATAGCACTCAGCCCACTGGGGCCCTGATTCTGATTGTGTTAAAAATTTGGTACCCTATCCGTAGTAGCACAGCCACTGTTAATATCTCAGTCAAGTCTGTGCCAATAGTATTAACACATCCTCTGTCTACATTTCAGAAGTGTACCCTGTATACTTTTGATGTTTAGCCAAACAAATCCTACCTTAAAAAATACAATTCAGTTGGAAAGGATGTGGTTGTGAATTAGTCCTAGCACTCCAAAGTTAAAAGTGAAATAATGTTAAACAATATTTTCGCAGATACAGTGGGCCCTGGTATAAAATATGCACCTTGTCTTTTTTCCCAGAAGTTGTTTTGCTTTTTTGGGTAAAAAGGTGGGTTGTATGTGAGAGAATACAGTCAATTTCTCTTCATTTCTGCTGTTTATAGCTATTCCTGAAGACCTAAGAGTGCAGCACTGTATCTTGGGTCTTTGAAAAAAAATCCAAACCTCAGAATTAGTATTATAAAATGTATACTATACTCAAGTTGAGCACAGTTGAAGAAAGCAGAGGTAGGAATGTGGATTTCATTTAGAAATAAAGGTATTTTGTATCAAGAAAACATTTGCAGGGCTTCCATTAGGAGAAGAATACAAGAACCAATCTTTAGATCCATGTTTA